GCGCGAATAATTTTAAACCTGATTATTTAAATATGGAATTTTAAATTGGAATGTTCAAATTATGAGAAATGAAGTAGATAAATCTGCTTGATTGTTTTTTATCAACACACTCTGTGAATGACTAAAGTACTTTAAAAATTACTTCAACAAACGTTAGGACATATTTATGAAGTTATGAAATATATTTTAGTTCTCGCATCGCAAAGAAGACAAAATGAAACCCATGCAACTAAAGCTTTAATGTTAAATGTAAAATTAAACTTCTTTGGAGGAAAATATACTGATAATGATGTAATTTAATGAGTATTAAAGTTGCCAAAAAAACGCTCAAATCTGCTATCAAGGTATTATTTTGACTCTTTTTTTTTCTTTTTTCTTTTATTATTTTGTTTTTTTTTTCTTTAATTATTTTGTTTGTTTTTTTTTTTTTAATTAGATGTGATAAACCCGTTACCAGTAGGTGATTTTATATTATCCAAGTGCCCCACATCTACGGTTAACATATGTATGTCTGAAACACCCTATAAGTATGTAAAAAAATAAGGATCATCTATAAAAAAAAATGTTTAATTTAGGAAGGGAAATGTGTCTATAATACTTACTCATTTTATTTTATGTTTGAATAATATTTATTTTATTTTTATTATCTAAGTGCCGAAAGGACAATCAAAAACACGTTAAATTATTCATCAATTGTGACAAGTTGATAGCTGAAAAGATTTGTTTTCATTACCATTAACAATACAACAGTAGTATTTACATTTGCTTAGCCTATTTTCGAAAACAAGCTACAATTAATAAATTTAAAATTAAAAATCCTGTCAAGTACTCAGCACTTATTAATTTATTACTGGTCTAACACTGCTCCAATAGTTTTAACAGATGAGACAAGTAAAGAAGCACACAACAGAAAAATATGTGCAATTAGGTATTTAAAGCTAATTTATAGCTTATTTATTGCTAATCTAGTGCTAATTTATTGCTAGTTTATGTTTAATTTACGCTAAATTATTGTCAATTTAGTGCTAGTTTGTATAATTTATTGCTTATTTAGTGTTAATTTGGGGCTAATTTATTACTAATTAACTAATTTTTTACTATTTTTTTGTTAATTTTTTGATAAATTATTGCTAATTGTTAAAAAATATTTTTGAGAAAAAGCTGTATTAATATATACATGTAATTGTAACAATTTAAACCTAAATCTGCCATTTTATCAAGCAAAAAATATTTTGCTCTTTTTAAGAAAATGTTTGGCTAACAAATTAATAATAAATCAGTGTTAAATAATTACATATGCTTTTCTTTTGTGTCGTAATTTTTTATGGTTAAGGTGGAATATAGTTTTTTTTTTCTCGAAAAATTTAGCACTACATTTGAAAATAATTTAGCAAAAATTTTTAAAATAATTTAGAAATAAATTAGTAATTAATTAACAACAAATTAGTTAATGATTAGCAGTATATTAGCAATAGATTAGAAATAGGTTAACAATAGATTAGCGATAGGTTAGCAATAGATTAGCCATAGATTAGCGATAGATTTACAATAAATTAGAAATAGATTAGAAATGGAATAGCAATAGATTAGCAATATATTAGCAATAGATAAGCAACAGCTTAGCAATATATTGGCAATAGATTAGCAATAGACAAGCAATAGATTAGCAGTGGAATAGCTATATATTAGAAATTAATTAGCTTTATAGTAGCAATATATTAGCAATATATTAGCAATATATTAGCAATATATTAGCAATATATTAGCAATATATTAGCAATATATTAGCAATATATTATCAATAGATTAGCAATAGATTAGCAATAGATTAGCAATAGATTAGCAATAGATTAGCAATAGATTAGCAATAGATTAGCAATAGATTAGCAATAGATTAGCAATAGATTAGCAATAGATTAGCAATAGATTAGCAATAGATTAGCAATAGATTAGCAATAGATTAGCAATAGATTAGCAATAGATTAGCAATAGATTAGCAATAGATTAGCAATCGTTTAACAGTGGATTAAAAATATATTAACAATAGTTTAGCAAAAATTATCGGTAGATTAGCAATAGGTTAGCAATTGATTGACAATAGATTAGTAATAGATTAGCAATAGATTAGCAATAGACAAGCAATAGATTAGCAATGGAATAGCTATATATTAACAATTAATTAGCTTCATATTAGCTATATATTAGCAATTAATTAGCTTTATAGTAGCAATACATTAACAATATATTGGCCATATATTGGCAATATAGTAGCAATATATTAAAAATAGATTAGCAATAGATAAGCAATATATTAGCAATAGATTATCAATCGATTATATTATCAATAGATTAGCAATGGATTAGGAATATATTAGCAATAGATTAGCAATAGACAAGCAATAGATTAGCAATGGACTAGCTATATATTAGAATATTAATTAGCTTTATAGTAGCAATATATTAACAATATATTAGCCATAGATTGGCAATATATTAGCAATAAATTAGCAATAGATTAGCGATAAATTAGCGATAGATTAGCGATAGATTAGCTATAGATTAGCAATAGTTTAGAAATAGATTAGCAATAGATTAGCAATAGATTAGCATTAGATTAGCAAAAGATTAGCAATATATTAGCAATCGTTTGTCAGTGGATTAAAAATATATTAGCAATAGTTTAGCATACGATTATCAATAGATTAGCAATATGTTAGCAATTTATTAGCGATAGATTAGTAGTAGATTAGCAATAGATTCGCAATAGATTAACAATAGATTAGCAATAGATTAGCAATAGATTAGCAATAGATTAGCAATAGATTAGCAATAGATTAGCAATAGATTAGCAATAGATTAGCAATAGATTAGCAATAGATTAGCAATAGATTAGCAATAGATTAGCAATAGATTAGCAATAGATTAGCAATAGATTAGCAATTGATTAGCAATAGATTAGCAATAGATTAGCAATAGATTAGCAATAGATTAGCAATAGATTAGCATTAGATTAGCAATCGTTTATCAGTGGATTAAAAATATATTAGCAATCGTTTGTCAGTGGATTAAAAATATATTATCAATAGTTTAGCATAAGATTATCAATAGATTAGCAATATGTTAGCAATTTATTAGCGATAGATTAGTAATAGATTAGCAATATATTAGCAATAGACAAGCAATAGATTAGCATTGGAATAGCTATATATTAGCAATTAATTAGCTTTACAGTAGCAATACATTAACAATATATTAGCCATATATTGGAAATACATTAGCAATAGATTAGAAATAGATTATCAGTATATTAGCAATGGATTAGCAATTGATTAGCAATATATTAGCAATATATTAGCAATACATTAGCAATAGATTAGCAATAGATTAGCAATAGATTAGCAATAGATTAGCAATAGATTAGCAATGGATTATCAATAGATTAGCAATAGATTAGCAATGGATTAGCAATAGATTAACAATAGATTAGCAATAGATTAGCAATAGATTAGCAATAGATTAGCAATAGATTAGCAATAGATTAGCAATAGATTAGCAATAGATTATCAATAGATTAGCAATAGATTAGCAATAGATTAGCAATAGATTGGCAATAGATTAGCAATAGATTAGCAATAGATTAGCAATAGATTAGCAATAGATTAGCATTAAATTAGCAATGGATTAAAATAGTTTAGCAATATAATAATAGATTAGCAATAAAGGTTATCCCGTTGGGTTAGACAGAGTACTGAACAATAAGTGAGGTTAGGTTGGTGAAAAAATTGTCGTAACGGCATCCATATTCGACATAGGAGTTAACATTTCCAGTTTTTTGTTATTTCATTAATGAGGAATAGTTAAGGAATGGTTTATAAATAGATTAGCAATATATTAGCAATTGATAAGCAATATATTAGCAATTGATTAGCGATATATTAGCAATTGATTAGCAATAGACTGGCTCTAGATTAGCTATGGACTAATGATAAATTAGCAACAGATTGGCAATAGATTCCCAATATATTAGAAGTAGATTAGTAATGGATTAGCAATAGATTAGTAATAGATTAGCAATAAATTAACAGTAGATTATCAATAGATTAGCGATATATTAGCAATAGATTATCAATATATTACCAATAAATTGGCAATAGATTGGCAGTAAATTGGCAATAGATTGGCAGTAAATTGGCAATATATTAGCAATGGATTAGCAATAGATTGGCAATAGAGTAGCAATAGATTAGCAATAGATTAGTCATAGATTAGTAATAGATTAGCAATAAATTAGACCTAGATATGCAATAGATTAGCAATTGGCCAGCAATAGATTAGCTATTGATTAGAAATAGATTAGCAATAGATTAGTAATCGATTAGAAAAATATTAGCAGTAGGTTTAAATAATTACGTCTACTTTTCATTTGTGTGCTGCTTCTGTATACTTAAGCTGGAATTCCGCATTTTCTGACTAATAAATCAAAAAAAAATCTTAAATAATTCCTTACGTTTTTATGTTATATTTTACTTTTGTGTTTCACCTTAATAGACCTGCAAAACTATAAAGTTAACAAACAATTATTATCCTTTTAATTGGCAAAATAAATAGATCAACAAGAAATATTAATGACTAACTTTGATGTCTTGACGTTCTGTATTTTTTTATTAAATTTAGAGAGTTTCTATTAAATACGTCTCTATTTTAATATTGATAATATTTGTTAACTATAAATTTGTAACGACGATATGTACTAAATAGTAACTCTATATGTAGTTGGCAAACATTTCCTAATTTAAAACCCTAACTAGTTCTAGCACGAACTAAATTATCTGATAAAATCTAACAAATCGGAGTTATAATGTTTGTTATACGTTTCAAACTAATTTATTAAAGTTAACCATTTCAAGTAGTATTTCATTCACAAAGTCCATTGATATATATTAAACGAAGTTTCCTTTTTTTAATAAAAACTCAAAAATAATACAAAATTTTGGATTTACCTGAATCATTTTTACGTAAGAATCGATCACTACGACTGTTGCACATCCGAGCTGAAATCGTAATCACTTAACCACCTCATGCCGAGCTCTAATTTTTTGCAAAGAAGGTAATGTGTTTTCAAATGCGATATTTACGTAAAAACACAGAGGCGTGCGATGTATCTCCCTCGACACGCCCCATTCTACTGCCTCCCAGAACGTTATCCACGGCTTTTCATTGATTTCTCCGCGTGCTGTTTCAGTTGGTCAACTACCCCATTGTGTGAACCCCAATCGATATTCTGCACATGGATGTTTGGTTTGTTGTTTTTTTTTCTGTTTTTTATTTTTTTATTACATCTAGTGTTAATGTCCTTTTCCTATTCTCTAAAAGGTGTATATAGAATGAATATTTTTTTTACTAATAAAGGAGTGGCGCAATATTTTATTCACCCCAAGGTGATAATGATATACTTTGACCTTTTAAAAATTATTAGAGCAAATTTAATTTTGAAATAAAATTGGTTTAACGTGAAATTATTCTGTAATTACAGTTATAAAGCTGTTAAAACGTTTTCTAAATTATATAATCGTTAAATTAATTATTATTTATTTATATAGTAAAAAAATCGGTTTTAAAGTTTTGAAAACTTATCGGCTATAGATCCTAGTATATACAATTCATTGAAAAATATTTTTGAACCCCCAAAGTGAAAACAAACTTATTAAAAACTAAAAAAATCTACACACGGGCATCTCAAACCCACATATTCATATTAGACGATGCTGATTAGTTGTTTGTTGAAAATGTTTGAATTTTTTGTCACCGATTTTGGATTTGAAATCTTATATTCAAATTAACAATTTGGATGTCTGAGATTTATATCCCGATGGCTGAATGGTCAAGGCAATGTGCGTAGAACACGAACAGGAGGGTTCATATCCTCCGCTGACCGATTTTTTCATTATTACGTTGTGATAATTTTGTAATTTATTCGGGGACTTTCAACGAATTTATATATTATTTATTAACCAAAAAATCCTTTGATTGAATAATCCATAACGAAGCAGGTAAGTACGTAAAATTCATATTTTATTAATATATAGGGTGATCCATTACTGTGAAAAAGCCCAGTATATCTGGCGGTAGTAGAGATATAACAAAAAACAATTACAGAGCGATATTAAGTAGGTTGAAGGGAAGAATGACCAAACAAGATTTTTTTCAGACTTGTAATAATTATCAAAAGTTTTTTGGTTCTCATTTAAAAAAACTGTTTCAATCTACGCGTTGAAGACGAGGAAAACTACTAACTACTAAATGTATTTTGTGCGAGAACTGGGCACATGCAGGTTGTACTGTAACGGCTCACCCCCAGTAACCCATTTTGTTGTTTGTTTTACTCTCTGAAATGTTAATATTTACCTCACAATTTTATTTAACTTTAAATTCTATACCTACTGTATTTGGCATTTTCCCTCAAGTAGTAGAAATGATCGTCTAGTTAATTAATTGATAATTTATATACCCACGTTGTGATAATGTTAATTAGGGTAAACCAGGATTCGATGCAAAGTTTGGTGCAAATTGATAAATAAAACATACAAATTCATATTTTAACTATTTTTCTTTTTCATACTTTAAATGTGATGCAATAATTAGCAAAGTATATTACAATTGTTACTATTTACTGCGATTTCACTTGAGTTCCGTTCAAACGCAGACCACGTTCATTTGCTATCAAGATATATTTTATTTAGGTTGACTACCAACGGAGTTAACAAACAGCGTCAATTCGCCAGTTGGTTAACTACTGTGTTGATGTTTATATTCTTATTTAGGTTGATGACCAACGCAGTTAACGGACAGCGTCAATTCGCCAGTTGGTTAACTACTGTGTTGATGTTGATTTGATTCTATTCTAGATATACACAGGTTTTGCACCCTCTTAGGTAAATATTTCGATGAGTATAGAGGTAATGACCAACGGAAGTAACGAACAGCGTCAATTTGCCAGTTAGTTATCTTACTATGTTGATTTCACATATACTTTGCTTCAAACCTTGTAAAATGGGTGGCTTAGCATATAGGTCCCCCCCTCTTAAGCTAACGAACAGTGTATTCATCAGTTAGTTAACTTACTATTAAATTTTACCATTTCGTTTTGGACAATTTATCCAAGATAGCACATCCCTGTATATTTCTAAAATATTGATATTTATAATTTCTATTGAAATGACTTAATACAACCCTGTATATTTTTTATATTGATTATTATAATTTCTATTGAAATAACTTAATACAACCCTGTATATTTCTTAATATTGATTTTTATAATTTCTATTGAAATACTCAAAATTTCACCCATCGAAAACAGATGTTTATCCTAACTGTCTTTCGGGGTGTATGAAACAACAAACTGCGCTACTAAAGCCATTTCGTTGAAATCCTTAAAACGATTTTTGAAGTTATTCTTTAGGGTAGAAACTAGTTCTACATGATATTTGCTGTCATAAGGTTCTAATGGATTTTGAGATATTTTTTCTGAAAGAATAGGAAAATGCTTGGCATCGCTGTTAATTAGGTTTTGTTCCCAAAACTTCATCTTTTTGATAAATGCTTTTATATCAGAAATCATTTCCGCTAGTTCTTTGTCTCTCCCCTGAAGCTGCAAATTAAGTTCGTTTAATTTCTCTGTAATGTCCACGAGAAAACCAAAATCTCTAAGCCAGATTGAATTTTCTAGTTCCGGAGTCGGTTCATCGCGTTGTTTGAAAAATTGAACTATGCCAGATAGGACATTATTAAAACGTTTCAGCACCCGTCCTCTACTTAACCACCGGACTTCAGAGTGAAGAAGTAGGTCCCCGTATTGACAGTCAACTTCATCGGCCAAGGTTTTGAATAATCTTCTTTGTAACGCTTGAGCTCTAATCTTCTTCACAATTTTTACCACCAGTTTCATAACGTTGTTTAGTTTCAGGAAATTTCCACATAATGCTTGCTGATGGATAATGCAGTGGTAACAGAGAAATTGCGGAAAAGTTTAATCTTTACGACATAACGCCACCAGACCCTTATCACAACCCACCATAGCTGGAGCGCCATCGGTTGTCAAGCCTACCATTTTCGATATTGGAATTTTCTCGGAAGAAATAATATTTTTTAAATGAGAAAACAACTCCTGTCCAGTAGTGTGTCCTTTCAGAGGAATAAACTTCAAAAGATCTTCTTTAATCGTAAAATCACTAAAAACCATCCTGACGAACACGCCCATCTGGGCAGTGTCAACGACATCTGTGGATTCATCCAGTTGAAGTGAAAAATAAACACAGTTATCTAAGTCAGTTCTTAACTGTAAAAAAATATCACTGCTCATTACTTCTACACGTCTCATCACTGTATTAGCAGAAAGTTGCATAGATTTTATAGCTGAAACTATCACGTCTTTATTTCTAAAGTTGGCAAATAACGAATCAGCAGCTTCTAAAAACGCCTGTTTTATCATTTCCCCGTCTTCATAAGGTTTCTTTTCTTGTGCAATTATCTGGGACACACGGTACGATGCTTCAGTTACAGCCTGATTTTTGTCGACTGTTCTTAAAAATATTAATTGTTGTCCAATTAACTGTTTTTTTAACTGTTTCAGTTTCTCCTTTCTCGCGGCAGAATGTAGTGGTAATGATTTTTCAAAATTAGAATGTACAGTTTTATGATGTCTCTCAATATTTCCTTTTTTAGCAACGGAGACGGAAGTATTACATAACAAACACACATTTTTATCTTTAACTTCTGTTAAAAGCGTTGTTCTTCCCATTCCGAATGAAAGTGGTATGTCTTTACCTTCTTACAACTGCTTGCCATAATATTATTTTTTGTTGTTCTCTACTAACCCAACCGCTGGACGTTGGTTACGCGTTCAGTTTTAAACTAAGCGCAATGTCGCCGCGCCGTGCGTATTTATCCCGTTCAAAGCAATCCTGATCGTTCTCGAACACTAACGCGCTGGTCCGGCTGGTCGCTTCCAGCCGATTCTAGCTTGATGGCGTCAGCGGCAGATCGCTCACCGCAACGTTGCCGCTGTTTATGTTTAATATTATGACAATTAGATTTTTTTGTGGAATTTTCGGAAGCTTCTCTGATTTTTGCAGTTTGTATTTTTTAAATTAAAATCGTCGTGAGAGCTATCAGAATTACCTCCGCGAGCTACCGGTAGCTCGCGTTCGACAGGTTGGCGACCACTGTTGTATAGTAATGATAAATTGTAAAATAAATTAAAAGTGTGAGTTATAATAGTGCCTAACTATCAAATAAATTAATTAGCACGTTATAAATAAATTATAAATAAACTGTTTTAAATAAATAAACTATTTTTAAAATAAACAATGTTAACTTTGCTATTTTATGGAAATCTTAAATACCTATCATGAAACTTGGATTTCACATTACGAGTACTTTGTTTATTTTTTTATTTTTTGTGTGTCTTCCAAGCAAGAAATGCTATTCTTTTTAGAAGGCTTTTAAAATGAAAATAAAGTGATAAACAATTGTAGTATAAAACTAAATCTATTTAATTAAAATTAAATTCAATTGGTTTCTTTAGAAATAACAGGCTCGAGCTAAAAAAAATAGAACAATAGAATTTAAAATTAATATTTACACATTTCACCGTAATTGATAAAACCACTATTTAAAAATAGCTTCGTGGTGTCGTTACTGATGTCAATTACGTTAAGGGTGCGGTAGTACATTTACATCGCAAATACGATGGAACAAATTATAGTAGAATTATTTCTCATTTTACGTTTCTTATTTTTCCCATTCATCAATCATTTAGTATCAAAAGCATCAGTAATTCGAGAAATTTGTTAAAAACCAAATGTATTTATGTTGGTTATTCATGAGAATTGCTTGTAAATTTTCATCAATAATTATTATTGTGCATATTATTATTTGTATCCGATATTTCGTTATTTTATTTTCAAAATGAGAGATTTATAAATTTCAAATTATTTTGAAAAGTGAGTTGTACCTAAAAACTTTTTTTTTTCGTACATAATAATTTTAAATGCGCAGTTATATTTGGAATAATTCGTTGTTTTTGAAAGCTACCAAAAAAACAAAAATATTATTTAAAATTAATTTTAAAAACACGGTAGTTATTTAAAAATAATGATTAATATACAGGTATTTGAAA